ACATAGATCATAAAAAATACTTTCTATAGCTGATTCAGGATGGTTTTGGATGTGCTACACTTTTGAAAATAACACAATTATGTGCTAACAGGTTATATTATTAGTTTTGGTCTGTACTTTAAAATGTCACTAGCCATTGGACTCCTTTGATGCGAATGCATAGTCACATCATCTAAGCTTGAGGTGAGCAAGTGTTCCCATGTGTTCTACTGCTGTTGCCATTTTATTGCTATGTATTGTGTGCTATTATTGATGTTTAGAGATTTTTAGAGATACCGTAGTTGGCAGAGTCTCTAGCTAGACTCCCCTGTTTTTCTTTCTCTTATTATTATTATTATACAGGATTTATATAGCGCCAAAAGTTTGCTCAGCACTTTACAATATAGCGGGAGAGACAATACAGCAACAATACAGTTCAATAGAAGAGAGTTAGGAGGGCCCTGCTTCTTGGAGCTTAAAATCTAGGAGATTCTTAGCCAGCTTCTGTTTATGGCAGAGAGAGATCTTAGAAAAGTAATTCCCTGATATTAATAAAGTGTAACGTAGACCTTTATAAGCATTGAGTTGTGCCCCTGAACGTCAAAAGACAGCACCTGCAACAGATTCATGTACCTGTTGAAAAAATGAACATAAATTTGTCACATGGAGGCATGGTGGGGAGTGGCATTGAGGCCCAAGTGTCTACATTGTGGAGGCGAAGATGTTTTCTGATGTCGTTGCCCAAATAAGGCCATTGCCATATTTGGTTAATCATGTCATCTAGCATCATTGGCCCCTTTGTTTAAATGCAGCTGTCAGCCAGGGAGTCTCCCAGCTGGCTGCTGAATCTGGCCAGGTATGCTTCTTTGCAATCCAGCATGCTCTGGTGTCCTAGTAACTAGCAAGCCCTGAGTGGAAAGTTGTCAAATTTACAGTATAACAGCTTCCCAGTGCAAACATGCCATACTTTTTACTGCACAAGCAGCCCCATTCTGATCACTGCCCTGTCTCTGTAAGCCAACGTAGTGTTGGTCTTATTTGCCTCCAGTTTCATTATCTACATTGACATAGGGGTGAAGATGCTGGTTGACGTAATTGACCAGATTTGGGCATAGCCAAAATGTTTCCATTCAGTGCTCAGACAAGGAATCTCTTGACTGCCAGGTGAATGGACCAGGGACGCATCATTGGTTACTGGAACGCCAGTGTCCTAGCAACCCGTGAGCCCTGAACAGGAAGCTGTCACATTTATGACTTCCCAGAGCAAACAAGTCCTTTTGTTTATTACACAATGGCCCCAGACTGGCCTGTCTCTGTACACCAATTTATAGTTGTTCTTAATTACCTCCAGAAATCATAACAGAACCATCTCAAGGCTTTCGTAAATTAGCAGCAGGACTTTTTGAAGGGACCATGGCATCAGAAAAGTGTTGACAATATTTTATTGAATCACCCTTATTTTCTTTATACGCCTCAAAAGACAGTAAACACATCCTTTGTAATGCACTTTGTGATGTAAAACTGCATTGGATTCAACAGCTGTGTCTTTTTTGAGAGTCATCAGGTGGTCATACGGTCCAAAAGATCTCTGTAGGTATGTCAATGCATAAAGTGGCAGCTGACACAAAACAGCAACACCAACCATGCATGGGACCTTTTCCAATAAAGTCAAGCATTTCTTTGCCCCTTCTCATTTCATAGGCATCTCTATCAGTCAACAAGCCACCAGTCATATTAAGGGTCCATCCACACCAGCCACTTTATTGCAATGCAGGGGCTGGTATGCAGACCAGTACTGTGTTGTTACGCTGATTTCATAAAGTTCTATTGGCTGGTATGTGGTAACCGCAGTATTTTTTTTTCTCAGCACACACCGCTGTAACACAGAGGTGAACTATCCACATTGAAACAAGGCATTTTGCCTTGTTGTGTGGTGAAGGTGTAGTAGGACTGCACTGGAATTGCTGCCCAATGCAGTCCCACCACGACTGGTGTGAATGGACCCTATGGGATGAATAAGGAGGTGGTATAGGCATGTCCAAACTTAGATATTTACACATACATTCAATTGTTTGTTTCTCTGAATCTAGCAGTTGTTTTGGTGTGTGGTTTTATAGTTATAGTAATGTTATAGTAATGTCTTCTTATACATATTTATCATATTATCTAAGTTTTGACAGGTTTTCTTTAGTTAAAAAAACATATATTTGCCAGCTGAGAAATTGAAGAGGAAAGACAAGTGACATTGCTATAGCCATACCTTTGTCATAACAATTAGCTAAGAAAAACAATCACAATTTAGTCATCTGTGACATGTAACTGTTTTTAACACAATATCTTTGCTGTTAAACATTGAGAACGCATTAGAAACATAGCATCAGGCATACCAGATGTGTTTACTTTTTGTTCATCAGATCTGTAAGAAAATCAGATAAGAAGAACCTTATGTGCTTAATTTGTGTATATGTAATGGCTTTCATCTCTTATTTCCTTTCTTTTGTTGAATACATCCAGCAAAATCTAGGACTACTTTTAGCCCACCTAAATGACACTGATGTGATATTAAAGTAGGCTTTTGTAATGACAAGTGCCTCAGTGAAGTAACAAATGTAAACACTATTGAGAAATCACAGAAGAAATCATGTTTCCGTATTCACAAAAAGATTTCTGAACTTGAATGTCAACTATATTATTATGGATGTGATTATTAAAAAATAGCACCATTTCTTCGGATACTGTAATGATGTTCTAGAAGAAAGAGTCATAAAAATTTATCAAAGGTCTCTTTGTCCATTTAAAGACACCCTGTTGCCAGACCATTTATTTCAACAATTTTTCTAAAAGATTATATTTGCATTTACCGTATTTTTGTCATGATATTTTCTTGCAAAAGCATCCCTTCTTTGGAATTCCAAAATGTCTGAGTCTGATGTGGGGCTCCACCATCTTGGATATAATGTCAGAAGGTTCAGAACTGTCACTCAAGTGACTATAGTATATGTTCCATCTTTGACTGCTACATCAAAGGTTATATAGGAAGATGAGGGGAAGGTTGGAGGAGTTTCCCTAGTAAATACAGTAATTAGACACTCCCAAAGGAGGAGAGGACTATAAAATGGAGGCAGAGAGGGGCATGTGCAAAAAAATTGACTCTTCCTGAAGTAGACAAATTTACAAGGAAGATTGGAGGCCAATTGCAAGTCAATACAAAATGTTTATGTAAAGCAAAAATGTTGCATGCAAGCATTTAAAATTCTAGATTTTTCTTTGTGTTTACTTGCACTTTTTAAGTTGGTTACAAGTTCTCTTTAGATTTCAAAATTTTAAATTGCAACTCCAGCCATTAATATTTCAGGAAGTGTTGAAAGCTAAGGATGTTAGCAGCATCTCTAGTTCTGTAAGGCAGCGAAAATCAACTGCAAGTAAGACAGTACTGGTAAGTTTTATAATTGTACTTTCCTTGTCGTAATTTTGCTTTTTCTCAGCGACTGGATCTGGAAACTCTGCCTTATAGCTGGCCTTCACTTAATAGTAAAGGTGCGCTAATCTGCTTCCCCCCCAACAGTACTTTTTTCTGACAGCTACCCTCTCCCACTTCCATTAATCTCATCTCTCAAAATGAGAATTACTTAAGTTTGGCCTGCCTGAAACCTCCCAGAAGACTGCAGGACCAATCTGACAGTGCAGCACGACTGACAAAGAACTGGCCCATGGGAAGGCAGAGCTGGACTCTTGGGCAGTGAGTCTATAATTCTTAAACATTAGCAGCTACAGTATTTGGAGATACTTTCTTTTTTTTTAAAAAAGGACTGGAGATCTTCTTTAACTTTTTCTTCCTACCTGTGCAACACTCACCTATAGTATTGCCAGGGTCTGAAGCAACATGACTGCATTGCATAAAGCATTAACTGAAACTGCAGATTTTAGTCTGCACTGCTTTTCTCTTCATCAGTTTCCTCATTTTAATATCCAGTCATTGTGATGCACTGTGAGGCTGTCTGGTGTTCAGGAAGCATGCATACGAGCAGTTTGTTACATTTGCTTGCTCCATTTGCTTGGAGGAAATTCCTTCATGGATTTTGTGGGTAGCGAAACAGAGAATGGTAAAGGAAGTAGGCTGATTTAAAAACATGAATAACTGAGAAATAGCATCTCTCAATTTTTACAACTCCCCTGGATATACTATACATAAGGTGATCTGTACACTCACACACACTGTGAATGTACAGGCTTTGAACAAGGAAGATCCCCTGCTCCTGTGAAGCTGGGGGCAAATGCTCAACACAGTGAGTGTCTTGAATCCTGTGCAGGTCGGTGCTAATCTCTTACAGTGTGAGTTTTTTTGGGCAAGCCTTTGCCGCTCATGGCCTACTGGTAAGGCATTTAAACTAAGCACAATATTTCAAAGGCCACCCGGTGCTTTTTAACACTGGACCCCATGATTGCATAGTGCATTTTACTGAACAAGGTGAATTTAGCCATTAAGAACCTGCCCTGGCAGCTGGGATATGCTTTTTTACAAATACATTTTCCTTTTTTTGGTAATCCTCCAAAAGTTTATAATTTTTCTTAATTTTTTTATTCCTGACAACAGAAATATGTTCAACATAATATATACAGTGAGCATAGTCTATCCTTTTAAAATGGAAGTCCATCCTATTCTTAACCTCCCTAGCGGTATAATTATGTCAGTATTTCTGTGCTCAAAGCGGTACATTTGTTTTGCATGGAAATATGTCGTTTTTATTGTAGGCCTGTAATTTTTAGGAATAACTCACTGAAATCTGTCTGAACAAGAGTCTAGTAAACATCCCGGGTAGGATACAATTTGAAACACAAAATCATAAATTATAATATAATAAATAATCATAAAAAATAATAATAATACATGTAATTCAATAATGTAATCAAACCAAAAACACTGAAATTTGAAATATAGCGCCAAGTTCGCACATCACTGAGCAAAGTCGCAAAATCGTTTTCAATGTCTGATGACGAATTTCCCCACGAATCATTATCACTCAATTCTGCCAGTGGTTCTAATTTACTATCACTGTTCTCTAGCTGGTCTAAAACCACTTTTGACCTAAAGGGACACTTTTTGGATGGCATGGACGTTTCTCAGTTTTCAGGCAGAAAGAACAGTAAAAATGCAGGCAGGGCACAGGACAAAGCACTAGGAACAAAATGTATGTGAAATGGTTTGATACAGTAATGTAATACTATCAGATTTTAGTGTATTGAGTGAATGTCACATTTTAAAGTTTTTGAATTTCCCGCTGGTTCTATCCTCCATACGTCCCATATGTCCTGACGTTCACAGGGACTGGAACCCAGAAGAGAGATGCCGGCATCGGCCGGAGGAGATGGCTGGGGATGCTGCAGGGGGGACATAGTAGGAGCAAAGGGCAAGTTAAGTGCAAAAGTGATCCCGGAGCAACGCTGCAGGGTAATCCCGAATTTAGCTCGGGGTTCCTGATTTTGGTACTGAAAGTTTACCCCGAGCTACACTCGGGAATACCGCCAGGGAGGTTAACTAAGCTAAACTCTGCTCCCCTCCCCCTTACCTCTAAACCCTATTCTTTTTACCATGTGAAAGGAAGAGTATACTTACCTATTCTGAGAGCGATCCATTCCGGGCTCATGATATCCTTATTGGCCGGCTTCAGTGAAGAAGAGAGATTGCCAGCAACAGCTGCAGAGCCTGGGCGGTGACTTCACCCTTAGGCTTACTATAGGGCATCCATTGTCTGCTATCTCTCCTCTACACTGAAACTGTTGCTGATAGCTGATCATGTGACCTGACCGAATTGCTCCTAGAATAGGTAAGTATACACATCTTGCTTTCACAGGGTAGATAGAATAGGGTTTAGAAGGGGGTGGGAGCAGATTTAGTCAGGAATAGGCTTGACTTCCACTTTAATGTTTCAGCTTTTCCTTCAGACATCACTGTAATGCATGAGTCCAACCCATACTCTTTTTCAGTTATCCAATGATCTGGGAACCTGTTTGGCTTACTCATTTATAGTACGGGAGAGATATTTCAAAATACACCCAGTGCAGGTTTCTCTTTGTCTCTTTTTATCATAGACATCAATTTATTGAAACCTGCCCTGGAAGTCTGAATGGGACTGGTGATCTAGCATGTACAGATAGATAAATGTTTATTTTTTTTTTACACTGATTGCTTTTACACCCATAAAGGCTGTAAAAGCAATCATTTCTCCTTCTCTCTGGCTGCATTCCTGCAGCCATTGAGAAATACTGTGTGAGCTGTGATTGGCCACAGCTTGTCACAAGGTACACGGTGTCACGATCACTGCGTCAAACCCCAGACCTTCTCACCGAACTCGTGACTGAAGGACTGGCCGATCCAAATCGCGATGTGACGTGCGTAACAATGCCACACACAGCTGCACCCTGCACAACGATTTTTCAGCTAATGGACTACAATCTATGTACCTGCAACCTGAGCGATTGTTACTGGGTCGGGTTAATTATGCAACTAACCCTCCACACTGCCACCACCTCCTTTTTGTACAGAGAAATAGGGAACTTGCATTATCAGTTATAACACTATAATGATTGAAATAATCGTCTGTATAAAACGGTCCGCAGGCCGGTTATACAGAGGTTTAAACAAACAGTAGCGTCTCTTCAAAGGCAGGGATTCGTAAATTGCAATTAAGAACTATAGAAACAGTTCAGCACTTTCAGAAAGAGAGATTTATTACTAAAAGGGTCAAACAGGTGCAATAAAATATTTACAGAGAAGATGTAACTAAGATATATATATAAATATACAGAGAACCATAACACAGTAAAGAGATATCAGGGAAAGGTGAAAGGGTTAAAGTACTTGCCAAAGTCCTGGGTTTAGCAGATCCAACTCAGAGCAGGAGGGTGCTTTGATCTCCCTATGTTACGATGGAAAAATGGGAGAATTCTTCAACTCAACCCCCTTAGGCTTGACAGCCTGCTTAAAAGTTTCCCAGCAGGGAGTGGTTCTGAGTAACTGACCAATACTCTGTTTAGGGAGGGATCGGCAGGCAGAACCCAAAATTGGAACCAACATCTTTCATAATTCATATTCTGGTCTATAACTTCCCAGCTGCACACGCGATAATTTACCCGCAGGTATATTATTTTGCACACAAGTCTGAGGATTATCTAGATATGAATTATGGAATTATATGTTGCACGGTTCACGAGTTCTATGTTTCGGCTCCACTGATGGTCCGAGATAATTCGAATGACCCATCAAACTGTTTGCCTGCTCCTAGCAAATCTGACTGGATGTCTGGTTTTTAGGTAAGTCTCTCACATTCCAAGACATGAGACATAGTGGAAAAATGGAGTTTAACAGAGTTTATCTGATTCTGTCACTTCCACTGGGTTAGGCTCATCAGGTCAGCATTTCTTTCAACTTCTGGGAAGGCTGGTTATCTGTTTTACGAGGTGTAAAACTACACAGGCACGTTGGTCAGTGAGGCTCCAATTCTCCTGGGAACTCTGGCCTTATCTTGGCCTAGGTGAGAAAGGCTACACTTTCGCAGATCGCTCAGCACCGAGCTAGAAATGCCTTGCCCGGCCAGTGACCCATAAACAGTACACATACACACACTGGCCAGAGGTCTCCTCTCAGTGAGAGGGAGAGGTGGAAAGATGAGGGGAGAAAACGGAGATGCCTAACAAAATGGTTGAACCGCGTCCATCTCTGATGCGCACGTTTGTGACACACGGCTGTTCTGAATAGCTGCACAGATTTCACACGTAGTAAGCAATGATGTCAGGAAGTGACATCTTTTTTACTACTATTCATGTGATTACTGATTGACCAAACAGTGATCACATGAATCGTGACCTCACACAGAGGTCCCGTACAGCGAGTGCCGATCGCAGTGGGCACCTCTCCCGTCCAGCCATTTATCGACATGGGCTGGATGGGAAGAGGTTAAAATTTACTGAGGTTCAGTTCTGAACATTTTCTTCCAAAAGAGGTCTGAATCTCATGTTTGCTCTATAACACATCATAACCCCTTTTTATTTTACAGTCTCCCCTGTACATCAGTGTCTTCAGTCTACCCTTCACATTATAGCCCACTTTACATCACAGTACCCTCTTTACACCACTGTCCTCAACCCCCGTTCACATTACAACTCTCCTTAACATCACAGTCTCCACTTTACTCAGTGTTCACAGTGTCCCTTTACATCGCAGACCCCCTTTACAGAGTCCCACTCCCCTTTAAAGAAGCCCCCCTTTAAAGAAGTTCTATGGTGTCTTCAGTTCCCCTTAATCATTATTATTAGCTCTTTACAATATAAGGGAGACAGTGCAATTAAAATACATTTCAGTACAGAAGGAATAGGAAGGCCCTGCTCGTGGAGCTTACAATTTAAAGGAAGGGTGAGGTGGTACAAAAGGTGATAGCTGTAGGCAATGTTCTGATGGAGATGGCTCAAGTACAGTTTCTAGGTGTAGTTGGGGTCTGCTTCCCTGAATAAATGAGTTTTCAAAGATCGCCTAAAGCCGACAGGGTGGGTGCTGACCGGACATACTGCAGTAGGGAGATCCAGAGCATGGGAGAGGTTCTGGAGAAGTCCTGGAGGCAAGCAAGGGAGGAGGCGAAGAGGCAGCTAGAGAGCAAGATGTCTTCGGAGGAGCGGAGCGGGCGATTTGGACAATATCTGCAAATGAGGTTGGTGATGTAGCTAGGGGCAGTGTTGTGGATGGCTTTGTATGTTGTGGTTAGTATTTTGAATTTTATATGTTGGGTTAGTGGAAGCTAAGGTAGGGATTGGCAGAGAGGAGCAGCAGTCATTGATCGGTTGGTAAGGTGTATGAGTCTAGCAGCAGCATTCATAATAGACTGAAGGGGGGATAACCTGTGTAACGGTAGACCACTGAGGAGGGAGTTGCAATAATCAAGGTGGGATAAAGCCAAGGCATGGATAAGTTGTTTTGTGGTGTCATTGGTCAGAAAGGTGCAGATTTTGGAAATATTCCAGAGGCTGAGGTGGCAGGATTTAGCCAGTGATTGGATGTGGGGCCCAAAGGAGAGGTGTTCTGCCCTCACTATACGTGGTGCGGGGTATAATTAGACAGACAGATAACTCTCCTCCCTTAACAACTCATTGATGCAGGTGCTAGGTCTTCTTTTCAACTTTTATTGCAGGGAAGTTAGAGTAAAACTACAAATGAAAGAAATAACATTCAATCAGTATATACAATCTACAAAATATACAGTCCTGACACACTAGTCTAGCTAGCAAGGGGTTTTTAAACATACCGAAGATGTTTCCGATAGGCTGAAAACAGAACTGCAGCTGAATAAGTGTGGAGTCATCTGGAGGAGATGCAAGATGGTAAGATGGCTGCTAGGAAAGGTCTCTAAGACCTCATGGTGAAGCCCATAGGATGATGGGAAAACTACGGTGGCCTTTAAACAACAAAATGTGTAACTACAGAAACTAATCTATAAAACTGTAATACAAATGAGCCACTAGATGGTGATATTACACTTTACCTTACATTCCATTGCATAATAAACTAACAATGGGCATAACATAAAAATATGCTGAAGGCTTTTGACACTCCCCGCTTGGTATCCCATGGATGCCAACTATGATGGTCCTTCTGGGGAGAGTAGCACAATTAGGTCAGACACAGGTCTGAGGAAAAGTTTAGACTCGTCTTGCCTAATGACCTTAACCTCAACTTTTCTGACTTTCCCATCTTCACTTGGAAACACTTGGGTTATCAGGCCCAAAGGCCATTCGTTTCTCCTTGACTGAGAGTCTTTCACGAGAACAATGGTGCCAGGTTCCAAATTGGGCTTGCTGACTTGCCATTTGTGTCCGGTCTGTAGACTGGATAGGTACTGCTTCCTCCACTTATTCCAGAAGATGTCCGCCATGGCTTGCACTCGTCTCCACTGGCATCTTTATAGGTCTTTAGTGTCAAGGTTGATTGGAGGAGCTGTGGTTATTCCAACTTTCTGGGTAAGCAAAGTGGAAGGGGTGAGCAAGAAAGGATCTTCTGGGTCATTGGGTATTGACGTCAGGGGTCTGGCATTTATTATAGCCACTACTTCAGCCCTGAAGGTCGTCAGTGTCTCATGTGTGAGCCTTGAAGTTTCTAACTGTAGAAATATTTAGTCTAGGATTCTTCTAGATATGCCAATCATGCGTTCCCAAGCACCTCCCATATGGGAAGCATGTGGCGGATTAAATGTCCATATACAACCTTGTTCTGAAAAATGTCTCTCTACACGTTCTTTGTCAAGGTTTGAAATGATATTCAATTCTTTGCAAGCTCCAACAAAGTTGGTACCTCTATCAGAGTGAATATGTTTGACAGGGCCTCTAATCGAAGTGAAGCGTCTGAGGGC